CATTTTGCAGGCAGAAATCTGTGGAAATCTCCTGGTGGATTCAAGACATAATTTTAAAGGTATCACTGACACTTAACTCGGAGGAACAGTTCAACAAGTGATTTCAGATTTATTCAGTGAGAACAGCACAAAGGCTCAGACTTGTAAGGACTAGACCAGCTAGACGATTCAATAGGCAAAAAAGGCAACTTATGTACAATTCTGGCTGAGATAGTCACGCCCACAATACTTACAATATTCAATCCGATTATATACATTGCAACCAATCATAGTCAATACATAATGACCAATCAAAACCATTCCCTCCAGAAGGCATGCCATTGGTCAGTAGTTACATGTCTTTACAATCCGCATAATGAGCTATGGTAGATTAAGCTTTTCCACTATGTCTCTTAAGACATAACAGAGTACACCCTTGTTGGCCAGGCTTTTCAAAAACCTGCAAAACATGTTTACCTGAAGCAGGAATAGGATGCGTGTCCGTAACATAGACCATTGTGTGTCTCTCTCATACTGGCTCCAAAACTCTCAGTAAACTATTGTCTATCTCAAGCATCGGTCAAAAAGTGGGAAGGAAAGAAATTAAGCTGCGTAAAAAGAATTTGGTTTCAAAAATTGGTATTTTTTTAAAATTTAATTTAAATTTGTTTAAAAATGAGCCAGTTTGCACTGGCAAGGCGGGATATAAATTGAAAGTAAATAAATAGATAAATAAAATAAAATTCTGGGCCATACATATGCATCTGTTTAGGCAAGCATATCTCACTATTTAAAATTTGCCTTTAAAGGATGCTAAATGGTTGCCACGCAAATACACAAATAGGTAAGGGGTTGCAGTATAAGTAAGCCAGAATAAACAGAACTACTGCAATTATGCAAACAATGATTGTAATAATAATCTCCTAGTGAATACAAAAATACAAAGCCACAATAACATTTTTGTTTGTTTATAACAGATGATGAACAGATGGACGAAATTCTCCCGAGTTGGTGTTCCGTTTCGTAAAGACTTCTTCACACATCAAAACTCATAAAGAAGTGTCCTCATAAAGTCACAGACTTTCCAAATGGATTCTCCGTTTTTCCAAGACATTTGTAGTGTTCACTCATGATGTATATCATACCAAAGTCTGTGACTTTGTGAGGACACTTCTTTATGAGTTTTGATGTGTGAAGAAGTCTTTACGAAACGGAACACCAACTCGGGAGAATTTCGTCCATCTGTTCATCATCTGTTATAAACAAACAAAAATGTTATTGTGATTTTGTACTTTTGTATTCACTAGGAAATTATTATTACAATCATTGTTTGCATAATTGCAGTAGTTCTATTTATTCTGGCAAACGGTTGCCACGGAGCGTTTACTTTAGCACTGAATTGGAACTTTGAGGTGAGTTTGCATTTGATTCGTGCTGACGTGTAGACAGCATCTTCCGTTAACCCCTTCTATGCCGCAATGCAGATGGGCAGGGAACGTCTGTGCTCTGTTCAGTGCACATATGTATTAAAACGGAGAATCGTAGAACACTATACACCACCCCAAGCTCATCAGTGGAAGGGTGGGATAAACATGTACTAAATAAACATGTCTGTCCCCCTCAAGCCCTGCAGGGACATAACCATCAGGGCATCTATGTAACATTTTGCATTGGCTCTCTGGTAGGATGTGAAAGACTCAGCTTTTGCATTGCTTTGATGGTTTTCCACTGTTTATGGGTAGCAACACACACTCAGAGAGTTCCAGTGTTTCCATCTTACTTTTGTATTCAAAATCAATCACTGACTGTGTCCAGTAGTATAGAGAATTTTTCAATAACTCATTTTAGCTTTTAAAAAAAAGGAAACCTGAAATTAGCCCTTTCAGACTAAATCCTTCTCTCTATCCTCACTTTTACTTGTGTTCAATTGTCTGACAAGCATCACAAGGATGGAACTAGGAGCTGACTAGCTTTACTGGGCAAAGGAGATGAATAACTGCTAATGCTTATATCTTTAAAAACAAATCCCCTTTGACGTGTTTCTGGGCTTCCACATAAGTGGCCTCAAGCAATTCACTGGTGATTGTGCAATCATGTGGGAGGTAAACCCTTTGCTGATCCTACTGCTTAGCAGAAGAAAATGCTTTTAAAGGGTTTAGGGCACATGGGAAATTTGAGCTGAAATAATGCATAAGGATTTGCATTATGGTAGGAGCAAACCCAGGTCAAAGGAGAAGAACCAGGTACCGCTTGATGCTTGTTAGGTTGAATTATTTCTTAAATATTATTTTGTAATTATAGATTTATCAACAAACTAGCAGTAAAGCCCATTGTGAAAGTAATACAACGGGATCTAGAAAGAGGCTCTGGGGGAGTGCTCTGGCTTTGGGCAAACAGTGTCATTTTGCTGTGGTGACCTCAGCAGGGTATAATGACAGAGTCCACTGTTTTCTCCAGAGGAACTGATCTCTGCTACCTGAAGAGCAGTTGTAATTGTGAGTGATCTGTAGCCCTCACCTGGAGATTGGCAGCAATTGTTACCCAGGACAAAGTGGCTGGTTTGGAGGGTGTAGTCTATGGCATTCTACCTGTCTGAGGTCCCAACCCTCTGCAAATCCCACCCTCTCCAGGCTCCACCCCTCAAATCCCCAGGAATTTGTCAGCATGTAGTTGGCAACCCCATCTCCTTCCCAGCTAACCATCAACCTACC